TACACAATGTTCTGGAATGCGTTGTTCAAGGTCAGCAAGAACATTTTGTTTTAATTTAAGATCTTCAAATACAGCTTCAATGATCATATCACATTTTTCAAAACCATCAAATGTTGTTTGACATTGTAAATTTGATAATATATTATCAGATTCAGCACTAGATAAAAATAAAATAATGTTTGTCAAAATGAATAATATTTTTTTTTCTTGTTTACTTTGTAAGTCTTTTTCGTTTAACATAATCTTGATAACCTTTTGTAATTTGTGAATAACCACGTGAAAGTGCTTTAGATGTTGTATCACGTAATATAACATTATAACCTTTATCGATAGATACATGTGCAATTCCTCCACCCATAAGACCAGCGCCAACAACAGCAATATTTCTGAAATATTTTTTATGAAAAAACAAAAAGAATATTATGGATTTGATTTTTATACACTTACTTTACTTCTCTTTCTGGTTTTCCATATTTATTTTTCTTACATTCAGTACGTCCATGAAAGAGACTAATCAATGCTTTTGATTCACTTGTCATACCAAGATCAGCAAAACCCTAAAACTGATAACTATATAGTCTTGTTCAACAAAAATTCAACTATCAATTGTCATTTATGAGTTACAACTTCATTCAAAAATATTATTAGTAGAAAACAATATAATTGCTGTTACGAATATAAGGACGTGTTTAATAAAATCAATTCAAGTCGATGCTGTATGTATGCAAAAGTCTGTTCTATTCAGGACACACAATTACATCAATATTATTCTACCGATTTTTAGATTGCCTATGAGTTTGTAATTTTCTCTTTTGATAATTCATCAAAATATGCCGTAAACTTCATTTTCAAGAGTATGCCTATCATGATCTGAGCGAAAAAAAAACCTTAAGGTACAAGGATAAGTCATCCCCAACATGAGAATGTCAATCATCTTACAAAAAAACGAATTTATGATGGACACTAATACATTTTTAAATAGAACCCAATAATATCTTGAAGATCTTAACAAAGTTGGATAAATTTCTCAATAGATCTTCACGAAATTCTAAAGACGATAATCTATTCTATTAAATATTTTACTTATATTTTAAAATAAATTTTGAATTAGCTTTGTAGATTCATTTATTTCATAGATTAAGTAAAAAAAAATCGTACTCACTTCTGCTTCAGCATTATATCCCACTTTTGAACCACTTTCTAAAGTTTGTTTGATAACCTAATGAAGAGAAAATTGTTTTTTTTTTTTTTTTTGTTTCTTATTTTTAATTCTTTATAATAAATGAAATATAATACATACATCTAAAATTTTTAATGGTGCAGGATAGAGACCTTGTGTTTGTGACATAACTTTCTTTTGAGCCTGTTGCAAAATATAATTTTGTACATACGAACTGGACATTATTTTCGATTTGATATCTATAACAATCACATATTACATATTGAAGAAAATAAATGTCTTACTTTCTATTAAACCAGATTCCTTCTGAGCAGGTTTTTGTATAATAAGCTCTCTAAAAGAAGATAATATTATATTATGATTTAAAATAGAATATTCAAAGGTTAGTTTTTTTAATCATGTTCAAACAAAATAAGAAATTGAATAGATTTTAACTCATTAATTCTCATTATTCAGTTATAGCTCTGATTGTGTACTTAATTTCTTTTGCGGTCTAAAAAATCTATATGCGTATTTAAAGCTAGTTGTCGGAGAATTATGAAATATGAATTCGACATGCAATAATATCATTCTATTAATCAAATTTAAACTATTAATCGCTCAGAAATAAGAAAGTCTTATTTTTTAATCAGAGACTTACTTCATATTTTTGTCAAGATAATTAGAATATATGTATATCTCATTTCATTTCGAAATTTCTACATAAAGTTCTATGATGAACTTGTTATTCTATCATTCAATCAAAAATAAAAGATTATTTTGAATTATATTATCCAAGTTGCCAGGACGGACGAGATCACCTCATCCAAAAAGGATTTGGATTCTTATTGAGATATAGAATTTATATAGAGAACTCAATAAGGCTAACTTCCATAAAAAAAAATTCACAAGTTTCGAACAAAGTCTCTTCGAAGTTTGACACTAGAGTTCTTGCACATACTATCCATGGAAAAGGGGCCTATATGGAAAGTCTCAGGTCTACTCTGTCATCATAAAAAATGAACATACTTTGCTTTTTGTACAGCAACCGATCGAAGATAATCCATATTTTTTTGTTCAATTGGTTGTAAACCTGGTCCAATAGGTTCAATAATATCATCAACTAAACCCATTGATTTCGCTTTTTTTGCTTTGATTTCTTTTCCAGTTAAAATAACATCAAGTGCATCAGGTAATGAAAGTTTTTGTACTAATCTTTGTGTACCACCAGCACCAGGTAATAAACCTAATTTAATTTCAGGTACACCAAATCCAGTTCGTTTATCATTCATTGCAATACGATAATGACATGCTAAAGCAACCTAAGACGAAAAAGAACATTCACTAAATAAGACAAATTTAATAAAACTAACTTCAAATCCACCACCAAGACATGAACCAGCAATAGCAGCAACAATTGGTTTTCTTGATTGTTCAATTTGATTCATAATGTCTTGACCATTACGTGAAATTTTGAAAAGTTCATCACGAGTTTTAGCTGATTCAAGCATACTAAATAAACAAATGTATAGAGAAAAAACTCGATAAAAGAAAAGAGATTTATTCGAACTTAATATCAGCACCAGCAATGAATGAACCTGGTTTAGCTGACATAACAACAATGCCTTTAACTTTGTCATCGTTTTGTAAATTATTAAATAACGGAACAAATTCTTCCATCATTGCTTTGGACAATGTATTAACCTTAATGAAAATTCGAAAACTAAAGAAAATATTTGTTAGTTTTTTATACTTTAGAATTTTCTTGATTAAATAGTACAACAGCGATACCATCTTGATAATCGACTTTTAAATTTTTTAATTGATTTAAATCCGCTAAAAAGAAAAATCAAGTTGAAGAAAAAAAAAATTTTTTATATCGAAAATATTTTATAAATTAATCTACTAGGTTTATTTTGAGCTTGTTGTTGAACTGATGTAGAAGCAAGTCGAGTATATAGTTGTGTTGCAACTATTTTCAATGATAATAAGATTATTCTAATTCAATATTTGATTATTTAAATCTTACCTGGTGAACGAGTAAGATTTAATAATCGTTGTTGACGACATATCAATGATGTAAATATAGCTGAAGCCATTTAAGAAATATCTATAATTTAATTCAACCACAAACTGTTATCATTCAATGATGTCGAACAGAGCAAAGGTCTTATTTTATTTCTATTATTTACCATCTAATGTAGGTTTCACCAATGATAATATAAATACCAATCATTTGTGGTAAAATAAATGTCTGACTTTACATATGAAAGCAATTGGACTAAATATTAATTAAAATTACAATAGAGAAGTTGTTAAAAATAATGAATCACTATCTTTGAGCGACATCTATTGAAAGTACCATTTGTTATCTAGACAATATAATATAAAGTATGTTTTAAGTTTTGGCATAAAACGATGACGATGTGACATAACGTGCCCTATATGTAGAGATGTNATATTATTTAAGAAAAGTTCTATTAAAAAAGTATTAATACATTTCTTATTCACGGATGATCGAAAAAAATTTAGACAAGATGTTTGTTCACTTTTAAACCTGCTAGAAAGTACTGTAAACGAGTCAAAAGCTATAAGTTAGAATAGTCTTTTCGAACACGAACCTAGAAATTTTTTCTCGCTCTTTGTTCGAGAGTAGTGAAATAATCTTTGAAAAGTCAAAAAAAGAAAATTAGTTTAAACAACAATTCGAGACTAAAAATTGAGATCTTTATTTATGTCTCATCTAGTAGATCAGAAGTTACTTTACAAAATGCACTATTTGAAGCTTTTTTTTGACTTGCAGTAAGGCCTCTCATTTTTGAAAAATCGACAACCATTTCGCCTTGAAAGGACCTCTTGAAAAAAATACTTATAGTCTTACTTAGGTAAACGCTACAGCTTAATTCAATATTACATTTTGTAGATAAATATGTGCTCTACAAAACTACTAACTTCAACAATTTTTAGCATATTCAAAAAGGGATTTATAAGGTAAACAAAAACTTATTAGCTCACCATGAAAAATATTTTTTCAGATCTTTCAAAAAGTTCATCACCATTGTTTAACAAAAATAGGCACAACATTTATTTAGAAAAAACTACAAAATTTTGCTCGCGATCTATATCGAAAACAGCGATGAACAAGTTTCGTCTAAACTAATTTTTCAACGATTATTTCATTACCTTCGAGAGAAAATTAAGACAATAATTGAAAACAAGTGCAAGCTTTTGTTCTTAAATCATAACTTGTAACTCATTGTAAATATTTTCTAGTGTGTTAAAAGTGAACAAACATCTTGTTTGAGATATTTTTCGATTGTTCGTTATTAGAGTTCGCAGATTTTCGACCCGAGAAGGTCTACATGTTATTTAGTATTCATGACATTTTATGAAACAACATATAGATGAAAAGGTGACATTGTTATTCATGAAAAACAAATTTATATTTTAAAACTATTCTTCCTTCAGACTTGCTTCAAGTAATAATCAAGACATGACTAGAGTTTAAGTTCTTGTTTGAAAATATTTAATTAGGTTTTTATTCCGATATGAATTGAATGATATTCATTAATTTTCTTTTCATTTTTACTACGATAATTAAATCTTTTTTGGAAAATTTTATGATTCTGAACAATGATATTTTTCATAAAATTCTTGATCTTATTCTGTTTTCTTCTTTAATTTGAATGAGTTCAGTTTCATTCTATGATAATCTATATTCGTTAATATCTAGATTGGGATCGATGAAAATCCCATCGAATTTCTTTTATTTTTATTCAATTCAAGATAATGACAAGCAATAAAATACTAACAAAATCCATCCTAAACATTGTTCCATTCTCTAATTAGTATCACCGGTTTGTAAAAGACTATCGATTAAATGTTCTACTGGTCGGCCTGATTCTTTAGCTTGTTGAACAGCACAAACAACAATACGTGCGCGTTGTTCTGGTCTGAGAATTTTATCAAATTCATCAAGAGCTCTTTCACGACCTTCGGAAAGTTTACGAAAACCTTCACGTAATTTTTGTAATAATTCTTCTTGTTTTGCACTATCATTACTTTCGACAGCTGCATGCAATTGTGCAATAACTTCTTTACCAGCTTGACGACGAGCAGTAAGTCGTTCGGCAGCACCATGAAACCATGCTTTGAACTAATAAAAATAAAACACAAAAGTCATTAAGATTGTATAACTAAAACTCTTACGTGTTGTTCTTCTTCAGCTGTTAAATTTAATTTAGCTTTAGTATTCCAACTATCAACAATAGCATCAGTTCGAGCTTGGGCCATTTTTTTCTTAAATAATAAATTATTCAAAATAAAATCAAGCAAACAAATATCATACACTTACTTATTGAGATGTAAACTATTACAACAAGAATAAGAATAGGACAAATACAGTAATGTCTTCTGGTTTATATAGGTTAATAAAGAATAAAAGCAAACAATACTCTTATCAATATTTTGGTAACAAGTTCGACCTTGCATCATACAAAAAAAAACGAAAACGCGAAATTTGTTAAAGAAAAAAAGTGATATGGCCATTATCTTTTTTCTATCGAACCACATCACTATACGCAAAATATTACTTATCAAAACCAAATTCTTGAATATTCTTTGCAAGATAAAACTATTCTCTATTAATATGGTACTTTGTGGTCGATACTAAGTAAATATAATACAAGTTTATCAGTTTAGCTCTTGAAGTTCGACATTCATTTTCAACTTTCATAAACAAAAAAAATGTTAACATTATCATGTTATTTATTTTGAGTATTCTTTAATTAAATAAATAAATATAAACTCAAAAGAAAAACACAGTCTCCGTTTTATCTTATGACTAGATCGTATAAGATCACGGAAAAGAAAACTAATGGAAAGGGATGGATGGCTGCGTATATTTCTATATAATTTATTATAACATAAATTCGAGTTTATTCGATAGTAAATATTTGTGTAATAGTGTAGGATAATCAGTCATTACGCCAGTAACACTCAATTGTTTAAAAGCATATTCAAATTCTTGTTCATTATTTAATATCCAAACATAGACCTAAGTTTGAAAAAAAAAACAAAAGACTAATTAAAAAGAAATTTAATAATAAATTAAACTTACAGGAATACCACGTCGTTGTAAATGTGCAAACATAGATGCATTATTTAATGCTCTAGATTTATAAACAAAACAAAAAGAAGATAACATGAAAAATTATTTTAATAGAAATAATTACCGTTCAGCTAAATAAAAAAGTATTTTGAGTTTCCAATCTAAATTTTTTGTTACTTTTCTAAAAAAAAAAAAAAAAGAAAAAAAATTATTTTATAAAACAAAACTTTCTTTCGTACCCAAAAACGATACCGGGTATCGGTACTTCAAAAGCACCTAAATGAAATAAAATAGATGAAATTTATTTTTCGAAAAATTTTCATGCCATTTACCTGGTGTTAATGGTATAAAAGGTAATAAACCGACCCAATAAGCCATTACAATACCTGCTGCTTCTTTAAGTGAACAAAATCGAACAACACGAGGATTCTAAGATAAATAAAATTACTATAATATATACAAATAATAGAAAAATGATATCAAACTTGTGCAGTTAATTTTCGACATATTGCATGACTAAAACTACCCCAATAAGTAATATGTTCTCGTCGATATTGTTGAATAAGATCAGAAACCTAAAAATTAGAATTTCATCACAATAATAAAATTAGCACGTCTATTTCAAACTCAGACATAACAATAGATTATATTTCCTATTGTATGATCTATGCAACAAGAATGTCCATAAATTTTGTAAGGTGCTCTGGATCAATTTCATGATTAAAAGTAAATTCTATTAATTACAATGTTCGAAAAAAAAAATATTGTCAATGTTCATAAAAAAAATAGAACTTAGACAAATATGATGTTACTTAATACTAAATATTAATCGATAATGAATAATTAAGTATGCATTAGAATCAAATTGCCTTTTAGAAAAACTTTGTATTTAAAATTTAAACTATGTTCAGAGAGCTTGAAAAATGATAACATTATATTGTTACCTGTCTAATAAGTTCATCATTATTTTCTTTAATATCAATATTAATTGGAATTGTTGGATAACGTTCAAAAACATCTTTCAATAATGGTATACGTAATAAATCGCTATTTTCTGGATTATTATTATTATCACTTGATATAATTACATCTATAAAAAATAATTCTTTTTTTTTTTTTAATGAACGAGTATATTTTAATTCTTTACCTGAATCATAATAAAGCTCAATATTACTACTAATCCTTGGTAATCTCTAGAAAAGAAACAATATTCTTTTGTATTTTTCATAATGACTTAGTTTTTTAATCCTACATCATATTCAGTATCTCTAATAAATCCTATTTGATCAGTTGTTCTATTTAACGCAAAATCATGATGAACAATTGCTTGAGAATCTTTTGTCAAATGACAATCTAATTCCAACATTTCCACTCCATTTGCTAATCCTCTATAAGCATAAACATGCAGTATAACAAAAACAAAAAAAAAAAGAATTAGTCTTTTTTCTTTTAATTATACTTGTCAAATGCAAGTAAAGAATTTTCAATTGATTCTCCAGCTCCTAATATAACAAAAAAAACCAAGAATTTGTTTTTGAAAAAAATAGAAGTTTAATAAACAATTTATTCAACCTCCTCGATGGGCAATATGTCGAACTATGAACGCAGGTCGACGTTTTCGATGAATCCATTGTGGCTTACGTAGGAAGACATATGATGATATAGCATAAACAGTTGCAAACGTCGTACAAGCCACAAATAGTGACATGTATATTGTCAAATGGTTCGATCTATGAATTTGCTATTTGATTAATTGATTCATCCATTCATAAAGCGACATCTATGTTCAATGTTATTTTAATTCGAAAAAATTTTAAAAAAAATTCTTTCTTATGTTCTATTTTTTTTTCTAACTAAAAATTTCATTAAATAAATAAATTAAAACTTGTTCAACCAATAAAAAGTTCGACCATTGTTGTCATGGTGTCAATTATATATTCTATTGACAAATTGACTGATTAAATACGCCATGTCCACCGAAGTACATAATGATGATGATGATCTTAGTGATCAACATCATACTAATGACGTTGAATTACGTGAATTAGTTTATCAATCACTTGAACGTGAAGGTTTAATAACACTTTTAAAAGCACAATTACGTGCTGCTGTTTTTAAAACAATTGAAAAAGCATCAAAATCTTCGGATATACCAACTAAACCTGGTTATGAAGGTACAACAGGACAAATATGTCGTGCACTTGTTCATGATTGGCTTGAACGTTCACATTTATTATATACAAAAGATATATTTGAAGTTGAAACATCAGGTCCAAATCATCCATTACCACTAACATCTAAAGAATTACTTGAACATTTACATCTTGATTCAATATCAAAAATATCTCAACCAATTTTACATATTTTACTTAATAATAACAATAATCGAGTATGAAAAAGAAAATATAATTAATAAAATGAGAATTTTTATTTTTAAATTTATTTTAGTCTAACAAAATAAATTCTCTTCCTGATCATATTAAACAATCGATTGATATCAAATTTCCAAATGAAAAAATCAATGATATAAATCGTGTACGAGAACATTTTCGTTCATTATTTTCATTTGCATTTGATTCAAATGTACTTGATGCTTTTTTTAATAAAAATATTTCATCATCAACATCGATTTCTAAAAATGAATACGAACAAATTTGCCTAACATGGATGCAAGCATGTGCTAAAGCTCTCACACCATCATCAAGTCCTGTTAAACAAATATCATCTACGTGAGTTATTTTGTTAGGCTTCTTTTTTTTTTTTTTTGAAAATTCTTCTTTCTGGTTATTATCAATAATAATGCAATTGTTACATATAACTGAAGAAGAGCCTATGTATGTTTCGATAAGTTTGAATTTCATCCTATTTATATAGAGTAAATATGAAGCAGCATATCAATCTCTTGATCATGAGGCGAAGTCCAAAAATATTTTACGGAAACTGACGAAGGAATATTTTTAAAAGAATTCAGGTTCTTACATTATTCGTGTAAAAATTCTGTATTGTTATTTTATATTTTTTCAGAGACAGACTTTAATGAGAATAATTTATTGTCAAAGTTTCAGAGTTTTTGGTTACTCCTGTTTTGAAATAAAACCAACGGAAGCTGCCGATGTCTATGACGGATGTAAAAAAAAACGTGTTTTTATCATAGTCGTATCTTGAAACAAGTAAAACAAAATGATCTAAGTCTTTCATGATAAACTATTCTCGTAAAACGTTCATTTCTATGGAGTACCATGACTTGCACTGAATATATCCAGTAATAAATGCGAAAACATCGGATTTAAATCCGAGTGTTATGTGTACTTCAAAAAGTGAACAGGTATATTCACTTTGTTTTTTATCATCTGAGACAATATCTACCCTATTTGCTTTCTCAACTGTAGTTTTTATGCATTTTGAGCCTTTTTCGGGGGATTTTTTGTTAGAAAGCTACAATTTGATTCAAAACTAATATCAGATTCGGAATCAGCGTTAAAAACNAACTCGAAAAAAAAAGTTTTTCGAAACTTGATCAGCGAAGTGTCGCGTTACGTGGACAAGCCGAAAAAGCTTCACTATTTTTTTAATTTTGTCAACATTTCTTTTGATTTATGATCAAAAGATATTAGACTTACGAATAAATATCACAAACTGTAAAGTATCTGATAGGATATAACAATCATAATTATTTAAATATATACGATTGAACAAGGACAAAACTCCCGATATCTCAATTCCAGAAACTATACATGATATGAAAAAATATTTCAGTATATTTCCGATAAGTTAGATGATCAGATACGAAAACCAAAAAAATCATATTAGAGAATAGGAATATTCAAAGTTTTTTTACGCTTGACATCTGACAGAAATTTCTTCTCGAAGAAAATCAACCATTTTTAATATGTTAGAAAAAAGATTGTTTTTTGTGCTAAGAGAAATTGTTAAAATCTCACATACCTTCTCCATATTTACTTTATTCAATTTCATAATGCTTGAATGAGCTAATGTTTGAAAAGTAAATTTAACAAATTTTTTCTCTCTCATATGGATAAAGTTCTTGTGTTCGAAATAATTCTGGAAAAAATTTTTCCATTAAATATTACACTAATAATATCATTTATTACTAAACAGATGAAAATATTAAATGTCTTTGGTCTTTACATTTTTTTTTAATACCTTTCAGCACTTTTTTGAACACACAATATCTTGAGCTAAATAATGTTGTTTTATTATATACATTATTATTGAAAATAATAGAACAACTTTTCAATAGGATGTTTAAAATAATTTAAAGATTCTTTTTTTACAACCATTATCTAATATTATATTGTAGTATTTCCTCTTACATAGAATATCAATCTCAAAAGATGGCGTGTTATATCACACATTTTGTTTTTAGTCATATTTCAATCATTTGACCTGAAGCACTCACGATTATTATATGATAAACAAGAAATCAGTTGGCTTTTCTCTCAAGTATATTCGATTAATACGACGCAAAACTTGTGAGATATGGCTTGTATCTTCATTCATTCTAACTAGTGCACGATATATATATATATGTGTGATAGCAGAAGAAAAAGAACAGAACATTTCACTGTCGACTTCTCAAGTTCGTTGACATAGAACGGAAGAAAAAAAGAAAAAAAAAATAATTTTAACTTGGTATATGAGCCAGGTGAAAGAACAGTAAAAAAAAAAGCGTGCGGGTCACTTGTAACTCGCACATGCACAAATATAAACTTAGTTTCTTTAGATTTTATCTTGATTGATGATTGTATCTCATTAACGCACTCCATCTCGTTTTCGAATATTTAAATACGTTTTATATTGATATGTGCAATGCGTTTAATTATTCGTCATCTATTACCTTTACTTCGTTCACGAAGACGAACTACTTGTTTATTTATCATTAGTATTTTTCTTAGTATAGCATTTATTTTATTTATTATTACTCATAATCAACAAACAAAAATTATTTTAAAGGAAATCATTACAACAGAAAATACGCAACAAAAATTATTGAATAATGTGTCTACATTAATTGAAAAACTTACTCCAATTCAAAGGTAAAACAGAAAATTTCTTTTTAGTTTATACGTGTATATAACACGTACGTTCAGTGTCTTATTGAATTACATTAAATTAAATATCACGAGAAAATGAATACTTGTTTTGTTTTTTTTTAGAAAAGGTGCATGGCCAGTAGATGAAAAAGGTCGTTCATTAAAAACTAATTTTTTAGCTCTTGATTGGACAGGATTTTTTGGTTCTGGAGCTAATGAAGGTGAAGTTATTCAATGCCCATCATCAAATACAACATTTATGTGGACACATAAACAAAATCGAATTGATGAAATTGATTTTATTATTTCACATGATGCTCAAGGTGGTGGAAGTATTCCATTTGATCGTTTACATCTTAATAATGATCAACAACAATATACAATGGCATTTATTATGGAAAGTGAAGTACATTCATCAACAGGTGATGGATGGTCAAAATTTGATTTTAAAATGACATATAATCTTGATGATAGTTATCCTGAACCAGCAACTTATTTTGATATAAATGCATTTATAATTGATTTACTTACACCACCTATGGTATCTTTTGAAAATAAAGAAAAACAAGCAGATATTATTTGGATTATTTCAAATTGTAATGTAAGAAAATGTTATCGGATTTATTATTTTTTTTTAAAGTATATGAAAAAGGCAACTATAAGTTTTTCGATGACTTTTGACTACAAAAAAAAGAATATATGTAGGCTTCTAGAGAAAGACTTATTCTATCTAATAATGTATGGATTATCAAGGTGTATATTGCATATCGTTGATATGTCAATAGATGACGCCACATTCACCGCAGTCACTATGCAATGCAACAAAGAAGATGTTATCTGTTGACAAGCACACATTACCCATTAAAAAAACACTGTTTACCTAAATGTTCAATTTTCACTATCAAGTTGAAGTCTTTTTCTTATGCGTAATTTTTTCTTCACTGTCATTCCTTACATTTGATGTTAAAAGGCAGCATAATGAAAGCATATGACGTCTTCTACAAGTATTTCCGGAAATTTAATTAATTACTAGCATGGGAGATGTAGGAGGTATAGAAAATACAGGAGATACTGCACGAATACACATTCATATCCTATGTCTTGTATATCTCCCATGCTGATACTTATTTGAATTTTTGAGGAAATCCTGAAAAAAATATCTAATCGAAATTTCTAGGCTCATAATGGTCGACAAGATTTTGTTCAACAATTAATGCAAGAAATGAAAGTTGATTCATATGGATCATGTTTACATAATCGTCATGGTTATGGAGCTCGCATGGCTGATAATATTGATGCATATAAAAAATATAAATTTGTAATAGCTATTGAAAATTCAAATTGTGTAGATTATGTTACTGAAAAACTAGTTAAAGCAGTAGCATCAGGTTCAATACCTATTGTTGCTGGTTTTAATGGTCGTCCAGATTATCGACGATATATGCCTGAACATTCATTTATAAATATATTGAATTATTCATCAATAAAAGATCTTGCTAATGATTTAAAACGTATTGGAAATGATAAAACATTATATGAATCTTATTTATGGTATAAAAAACATGATAAAGATATTTTAAAATTAAAAGAACTTTCATTGAATGATAAATTAAAACATTTGTCTGATGTTATTGGTTCAAATGCAACAATGATAACAGATGGAATTGTAGGAAAAGAAAAAAGTGAAAATAAAATTTGTAAACTTATTCGATTTGTTCGTCAAACACCTTGGCAAGAAATTGCTGCACATAAAAAAACAGCAAGAGCTGCCTCAGAAATTTCTTGTTTACGAAGCAAACATCTATTAACTCATTTTACTTCAAAACATACATGATAACATTCAACCGCTATAGAACTTAAATACTATGCTCTTTTTGATTTTGTGAAACGATAGCTTGTCTTTTTTTGTGATAATATTTATTTTTGTTTCTTTAGAAAAATTGTTTGGAATTATAAATTTTTTATTCTAAATGTTAAGAAATATAACCATGTATTAGAGAATTTCGTATAACTTCGAATCAGGAAGCTATATTTTGTTGTTTACGGAATATAAAATTAACACTATGGGTCAAGATGTACAAATGACAATGAATGAAATTTTGACTCTTGTGTCTAACAAGAAGGTCTTCTTTGCTGATCACGACAGGACTAATTACTTCGAAGAATCATCTCAAATATGAGAAGTTCGTAGGCGTCTTGATATTGAGTGTAAGTGAAGCTGTTCGATACTATAGAAATCCTATCAGATGGTAAGGAAAAAAAAAAGTCAACAATGTAAGTATCATATCACCTCGAAAGTGAGCTTTTTTTTTCGATATATCTTTTACCTTTTGTTGTGAAACGCAATCTTAAAGAAGTGTTGGAGTATATAGAATAAATATTGGCATCTCCAACTCTCTCATTCACAGATAATAACAGACAGATTGAAATGGCTCATCGTGGAAATACTCCTTCTTCCCACATTACAAATCATGACAGGTGTTGTTGATATTCAATGAAAGATCGTATATAAATAAAATTTGTTACTAGATACAATAAAATAACCTTCCTGGAGTTAGCAAGAATAGTTACAGCATGTTTCACATTTTAGTTCCGCAGAGATTTGTATTAACAGCTTTTTATCAAGATCCAAACGTTATCCAGTATATACAAAATTCAGTTTGATGGTTTGTTTTTCTGTCGAAAAATACTAGCAATAATATTGTTGAACATTGGCTATTATGGGATTCATAAAGTATGACCTTTTTTTTTTTTTTACTCATGTTGGACTGTAGAATTCTAGTAAATAAATAATGAAAAATGATTTAAATATATAATTTTGTTGTACTTTTAGTAAAGTAGATGAGAAAGTTGTTTGATTTGTTGAAGAGCAATCATAATGAACATGCATGAGTTGATTTAAGACTATTTTCTTGATTATAGGTAGATAGATAGTATTGAACAGTCGATATAGAACAATTTTACTATCGAACATTCGAACGAGCTAAAAGTTTGATTTAATAATATCAAGAGATGATCTTTCGTGAGTGTATAAAAAAATGAAAAATACAAAGAATTTTAATCATTGCCTTGTGTATACTGGAGTGATTCTTCTTGAAATAGAAAACTCATTAACGTTTTTCTGTAAGTACTATCTTTTAAGGTTTCAACCGATGTGCATAATTGGATATACACTATGTAAAAAAATTATTCGGACACCCTGCTATATTTATCTTGTGAAGCGAATTTCACAAAGAAGAAAAATCATTTTCTCAACTCTGATTATATCATTCGATAGATCGAAGCNATCGAATGATATAATCAGAGTTGAGAAAATGATTTTTCTTCTTTGTGAAATTCGCTTCACAAGATAAATATAGCAGGGTGTCCGAATAATTTTTTTACATAGTGTATATAACACGATACTCTCATATTAGAGAAAAGAAATAAAGTAGATTATATTCTTAACTTAACTTTATATTCTGATTTGTTTTGGTAGACACTACTTTTCTTTCACGCGAATCAAACTCTGTTAATACACGTGCAACATTTTGACGTCAAAGTGACCTAATTTTCTTACAAACCATTGCTTAGAACACTTCAATGATAATCTGAACTTTTTGGTGTAATAATAAACCAGTTCGTTTTTCACTTTGTCAATATCCATTGATATTGTTTATGCATAAAAGAATTAATTATCAAAACTAGAAATGAAACGAATCGTCTTTATTATAATTTACAGTCGAAACAAAAAATAGAAAAAGAAGTATGAAATTCCAAAATAGGAAAGCAGATTCAATTCTTCGTATAATAACGGGTGTTTCAGGAATAATGAACCTCTCAGTATTTTTAAGATTTCCCTTCTATTATCCGTGTGATTGAAGTCCTTTTTATTATCAAAAGATAGTGCTTGAAATTCTCTATAAAACCATACATGACTAGATCCCAAAATAGTTTTAGATATATTTGAAAAAAGTCGGAAACTAAAGGCATACACACAACTGTAAAAAGTACACAAATAAAATAAACTGTTCTTTGTAAACTGTAGAGCTTTTCATGCTGCATCTTGCGGTATATTTTATGTTTTTAATAAAATGTATTTAGATATTAAAGTATGAAATGCAAAATGCGACCATTTATTATAGGACACTCGTTATTTACTTTTTTTCAGCTGCGTATGCCTTTAATTTTCGACTTCTTTCAAATATATCTAAAACTATTTTGGGATCTAGTCATGTATGGTTTTATAGAGAATTTCAAGCACTATCTTTTGATAATAAAAAGGACTTCAATCACACGGATAATAGGAGTAGATGCCTAATTCGAGTTCGAATATAAACGGAAAATTGAAAAACAAAACGCACTCGTGTTAAAATAGCAAAAAAGGAAAAGAAATAAATTAATATAAATTATAATATATAAATTCAAAGGCACCCATGTTAAAATAGCAAAAACGATATGATGCGTTCTATTAATTTCCAGGAAACACCTTTTTTTTGAACTTGACTGGAAGCCGGGCATAATGGCTGTACTGCGCCTAACTGATCTATTGTGCAAAAGGTGAACCAAGAGCGATGAAATGTGACTCCCTCCGCGGCACCCACATCAAGAGAGATGTGATGTGACTTCCTCCGCGGAACCCAATGTCCATGACGCCGATTATATCTATTATCCCTAGTATGCACACTAGGGAAATGGAGTGCAGTTTTCGGAAATTAATTTGGCGTCCGGAAATCTATTGAGTTTCTTGACAAGTAATATAATGCATCATATGAATGCATTGCCCTGTAGAAATCGTTTTCGATTTTCGGAAACAAATTTGATGTTGGGAAAGTCAATTTGCGTTTCCGGAAATTCGAAGACACCGCCATCAGATGCTACAGCATGCCATCAGATGCTATAGCGTCCCATGGAATGCTACAGCGTACTGTGGGATGCGACAGCATGCTCTAGAATGCTACAAGAAGTATATGAGAAGCTTGAGCTGCCGTGCACCATTGAGTAGCAATGATGGTGTACACAAAGACGTGCATGGATCGCGGCTCTTTGGAAGGGGAGGGGCGCTGTGTGCCCCCACGCCGCGACGCTGATACAAAAGGTTAGTTTTGCGGGCAAAGGGTTTTTCCTTCATGGATTCTTGTTTCAGTGGGATTTGCCTTTTCCTAGCCCCCCTCGTCATATTCTCTCTTAGCCTCCCTCCATGTTTCTCTCGAATAGTTGAACACTTGAAGTTGACTTTGATGTTTGAGATGCATGCGAATTTATAAATTATAATTTATATAAAATTATTTATTTTGCTTTTTTGCTACTTTAACTTGGGTGGCTTCGAATTTATAAATTATAATTCATATAAATTTATTTATTTTGTTTTTTTGCTATTTTAACTTGGGTGGCTTCGAATTTATAAATTATAATTCATATAAATTTATTTATTTTGCTTTTTTGCCATTTTAACAGGAAAGTCGTTTTTTTCATTTATTTTCGAAGTTATGGTAAGCACTTAGCTCTCTATTTATATTCGAACTGGAATTAGGCAATTCATGGATAATAAAGGAAAAATCTTAAAAATACTGAGAGGTTCATTATTCCTGAAACATCCGTTCGTTTCTTGTTCATCGTTTTTAGCATCAATTATTCGTCTAACGACGATATTTTTTGAGAAATATTTCGCGAACAAATGCACCTATATGTAGTTTCTGCAAATATATGATGTATGAACATTGAGAATGTGAAACAAACGCCATTCTTGTATTCAATTACTTAAAACAACAAAACTACACATGTTTTAAATGCTTTTTTTTGTATTTGTTTATTACTTGACAAACATAAACTGCTGTTCATATTTAATACTTTCTTTTAAATACAAAATTCAAACGAAACATCTGTTTGAATTCAAACGCTTGTTCTTACATGGAATATTGTTTAGCTTTCCACTTATTAAAAATAATATTTGCTTTTGAAACACACTCAGTGTTGTCACTTAATTTGCCATACATAATTGAAAACAAGATTTATAAGCACATTATTTCATTTACTACTCAGTACGCATTTCTTCATATCATTCTTTCATTTCGATTTGCGACAGATGACGATCAACCAACTTCTGTTTGTCATTTTATTCCTATGGATTTCTACTGTACATACTTCTCATTTTCGTGGTGGTACTATTACATGATAAGTATCTCATCATTTTTTTTTACTTGATTTTTTAAAAGTAACTCTTTTCTAGGCGTCCTCTCAATAACACTCCATCAGGTAGTACAGTTGTAATTCAAATACGTCAACGATATTCATGGCGTCGTTCATCTGTCATGTGCACTGATACGACCATAGCTAGCCGAGGCCTTATTGGGGATAATACCGCTGTTCCTTGTGTGACTGGTACCTGTTCTTCTTGGAGCAATCTCAACACAAGAACATACTGTACTGATTATAGTAGTCTTCTCGATGTTAGTTCTGGTGAAAAATATGACACACTAACAATAACACTCGGCATTCCATTCAGTGTTGCTTTTGTCTCATCAGCTTGGTTTGCAAATCTTGTTATTGGTGCTAATTCCGGATGGAATCTTGTCAATCGACTAAATACTATCGTTAGACCTGATGGATATGTAAATTCAAGTCCTTTGGCGACTACTCTTCCTGTTATCTACAAAGCTATCAATCAACAACATGTACATGTTGTTCAAGTATCTGATTTTGATGGTACTGATGAATTAAAATGTCGTTGGTCAACATCATCCAGCAATTATAATTCATATAATGAATGTGGTGGTGTTTGCTCAGGTGTACCTGGTGCCGTTCTTCTCAGTAATAATTACATTAGTATTTACACTTACACAAGCTGCAGTATATGTTGCAGTAGCTATACAAATTGAAGACTATTATGATAGTACATCAACAACACCAATGAGTTCTGTTCCACTTCAATTTCTCTTTTATGGTTATGCTGTACCCAGTGGTTGTAATACTCAACCAAGTATCATTGGTAATCGACCGAATCGAGGTAAGTGAGAATTTTATTCGAAGTCTCTTGAAACAACTATAATTTTGTCGTTTATTCAGCATGTATTGGCACACAGATTGGATCCAATGTCACTGAATATGTTATTGCACAAATTGGTTGTACAGGAAAAACTATTGTCGATTTCGTTTCTAGTTCTCCAGTTGGTATGACAAAGAGTACTATTCAAAATCCAAGTACTGGTTAGTACATTTGACATGGATTGTTTTAGTTTGTTTAATGCCTCGTGGTTATAGGTATCTATCAAATTATTCTTAGTTGGATTCCTACAAGTGATCAATATGGTCCACAGGGATTTTGTGCCGGAGCTGTTGATAGCACGGATGTTCAATCAGATCAATGGTGTATAACTTTTTTAGTTGGTTTTGACTCACCTGATATCATTCGACCAAGTGTTGTTCAAGGTTCAGCTTCACCAATTGGCACCGTATTTCAAAGTCAAACCATTTTCTCAATTCAAAGTAATTCTGATAATACTAAGAAACAAGATAGGATTAGGTTCCAATACGACATAGATATAATAGATACTACTGATATAGACATATGAAAAATTTCGATAGAATATTTCTTTTTCTTTTTATTTCTTCCGAAGTTGTTGAAAAAAACACTGAATACAGTAAAATCTCTTTATTCTGAATACCATCGGAATCATAGAAAAATCACTTCTATATTAGTGATAATCAAGACCTGGTAATCTATTCTCTTGTTCATCTATTTTTATCTAAATAATTTGAATTACAAGATTTTTCAAGCACAACACAAAATTTTAATTGGTTTTGAAAATAATTCTCTAATGTTGTGTGTCTGTTTGCTTTTGAACTAGCGTTTTTTTGTACCATTGATACACTTGATCGTTTAGTTTTTGTGCATTGTCACCTTCTAGTTTTCGTCTAATATTTTCATTCTGATTTGTTTCATAAATATTTAAAGATTCTGTACAACAGTCGAATAATACACAAAATGTACATACTCATAGTGCATAGAAAACAAATGATAGAATACAGAAAAAGATCAACGAAACATATTCATATTGGAGAGGTTGCAACAGCAAAAAAGGATCACAAAAAGTGTTCATTGTTCAGAGTAAGGAGGTGTTCATATTAGAGAGAAGCATTTACAGTGAAAATTGCTCCATCTGACCCGAAACCGTTCATAATTAGAAGATATTCACGAGTAGATATCTTAATGTAAGTTAATCGATACACATAAGATACATACATATTAAATTTAGCAGCTTCAGCAAAAATATTTGATCGATTATTGAATAAGTGAAAGAAATTAAGTAAAAATTTTATCAAATCGATTTTGCATCACTACCTTCTAAAAATAGAGTTCTATTAGGTTTAAGATATTGTATTTAATTATGTTGATATTGTTTTTAAGCTTCACGTTCAGTCAGTCGGCCAACACGTAATGGTACTTACATTCATTTTAAAGATGCTACTACAAATACAATTGTACAATCATATGATTGTGGTTGGGAACCAGAAGTAACATATACTGGATTTACAATTGTTATTCGTTTTCCAACTGCACCATGGATTATAGGACATTCATATTATGTCATGTTTGATAGTGGTATGAACTTTTGTCTATTGAATTTGATCTTTTCATGNATGTTGGCCTATCTTCCCCTGCCTTTATCCCATTCTCGTTTTTTCTGGCGAAACTTGACTTTTTGGTGGGGGGGGGGGGCTTAAGAACGAATATGATTTAAAATGATTATACACTTTGTCCAATGAAATCACAAGAAAAATGACTACGTACTCCCTAAAAACTAGAGATTATTTTGGTAACTTCCTGGGAACCCGTCGGTGATTGTGCAAGGATGAATTGGCTAGGAATGTCTTACATGTAACATGATACTGTACACTTTTGACTAGCTTGTGAAGTAAAATATGATAATTCGCGTCTACAAAATACAAACGCTGCTGTTCTTTTGTTTCGCATTGACTGACATGAATCCACTAACACATAATGATGTCATCAAACTTGCATAACTTTTAGCGATTAATCGACGATTTTCAAGCAAACTTCAATAGCAAGTATTATTATATAAAAATAAATATGTTTTTCTTTTATTTAGATCAGTCTCTATAACAAAATGAACAATGAGTATCTTTTCATTGAATTTTGTTTTTTTGTATTATTTACTGCGAATTGGAAGAAAAAAAATCATCTCTCTCCTCTTTCACGAGAAACATGTATGATCATGATGGTAAACGACGGTGGTATACACGTTCAGAGGTAGTCATAGTTGTGGTTCTAAATACTACAATCAAGTCGCATCATCAGAAGCACTATTTGAATAATCGCGATTTTCTCTAAAAATCGGCAAAAATCATCGGTTCCAAGATATGTTATAATATTCACAACTCGGATATTGAGATTCAAAACATAGCTAATCGGATATTCACTGAATGACTTTGCAGTACTTATGTACCGCTAAACTGATCTTTTTGAGTGAATTTGGTGTCACGACCCAACAGAAAATTTTAGCCATTAAAACCGATTAGAATTTGAAAATTCTATGAGCACAATCGAATTGATAATTTTCATTAGAATTTCGATTTTGCTTCGAAATAAACGTATTACTTGTTAATCCGCTTCAATTCATTATTATCTATTAATTAATTTTAAGCATATTCATGAAAAATTCGTGCTTTTCTCGATTTCAAACACGAAATCCTCATTTTGCATAATGTTTTGGTTTACTCGTGCTTAGAACCCATAAAGTTTGTCATCAAGCTAAAGTCTTGCGAATGATGTAAATTTTGAATTACCATATAAATTGTTTCAAATGAGATGATACTATTAGATCAATAATTAATTAAAAATCTATATAAATTAATTAAAATATTTTAATCGATTGTATGTATAAAGTGCTTTTCTAATTGGCATCCTCACAGATTCTACTCATGTTATGTATGTCTTCTATTTACGAAAATAATCACTTATCTCTTCATTACTATTTTTGGAAATTGACCAACAATTAAAATCAAGTTCCTACCCCAATAATTGTTGATAATCACGTGAAAACTTCTGAATAGGATTTTATTCCATTGAGATGACAATCGATTAAGCAGATTAAAATTAAATTACGACTGAAATAATCAAGAAGAATCGGGATATTATATTACTTTTTCGACTACTAGTAATCGGATTATCCTGCAAATTACGATTTATAAACCAATAATCAAAAATTTATATTTTTCACTGGAAGGTGACTAACCGACTCGATACTCTAACAAAAATCCAATTGAGAATTTTGAGTGAATTTGGCGTAACGAGATGCATTCCAAACTCCATATTCATATATCACCAGAGTTTAGAATACACAGGTAAGTGTGTGCGGTTGGAGCTTATTTTGATTCCTATTCCTACATTCAAACTCACATACAGCGACATCAAGAGCCACGCCCATATTCATATCAACATAAAAATTGAAATCCATACCCTGATCAAATAAATAAATTACTCGGATTGTATTCTTCAAGATTACACATGGCGTTTGAAGTGTTTTACTGTGTTTTCTTACTAACTGCCAGGCATAAAATGCAGTTCACATTTAATATTTTCTTTTCAACATACAGCATCAATCATGCATTTGCTTGAACGCCAACGTTTGTTTATGTCTCGCATACTTTACAACTTTCAATTTATTGAAAGTAATATTTACTTTTCAAACAATCGTACTGTTTTTCATTGTATACTGTATTTATAATTGAAAAAAGGTTTAAAAGCACATTACCATTTCATTCACTGCTAGTGCAGATTTCTTCATTTCATCCTTTGTTTTTCATTTGCAATAGATGACGATCAGCCGACTTCTTTTCATCTTTTTATTTCTACGAGTTTCTATTGTACATAATTCTCATTTTCGTGGTGGTACTATTACTTGGTCAGTTCTCTCACAGTTTTTTATTTAGTTTTTGAAAAATAACTATTTTCTAGGCGACCTCTCAATAATACTCCATCGGGTAGTAAAGCTCAAATTCAAATACGCCAAAGATATTCGTGGCGTCGTGGAGCTGCAATGTGTACCGATACGACCATAGCTACCCGAGTCTTAATTGGTGATAATACCGCTGTTAGTTGTGTGAGTGGTACTTGTTCTTCTTGGAGCAGTCTGACCACAAGTACATACTGCACTGATTATAGTACTCTTCTTGATGTTAGTTCTGGTGAAAAATATGTCACAAAAAATATAACACTCGGTATTTCATTTAGTATAGCTTTCGTTTCATCTGCTTGGTTTGCAAATCTTGTTGTTGGAGCTAATTCTGGATGGAATGTTGTCAATCGAATAAATACTCTTGTTAGACCTGATGGATATATAAATTCTAGTCCTATAGCGACTACTCTTCCTGTTATCTACAAAGCTATCAATCGACAACATGTACATGTTGTTCAAATATCTGATTTTGATGGTACTGATGAATTAAAGTGTCGCTGGTCTACTTCATTAACAAACAATACTAATACATACAATGAATGTGGTGGTGTTTGTTCAGGTGTTCCTGGTGCTGTTCTTTTCAGTAATAATTGTACAGTAGTATTTACACTTACTCAAGCTGCAGTATATGTTGCAGTAGCTATACAAATTGAAGACTATTATGATAGTATATCAACAACGCCAATGAGTTCTGTTCCACTTCAATTTCTCTTTTATGGTTATGCTGTACCCAGTGGTTGTAGTACTCAGCCAAGTATCATTGGTAATCGACCAAATCGAGGTAAGTGAGAATTTTATTCGAAGTGTCTTTAAACAACTATAATTTTGTCGTTTATTCAGCATGTATTGGCACACCGATTGGATCCAATGTTACTGAATATGTTATTGCACAAATTGGTTGTACAGGAAAAACTATTATCGATTTCACTTCTAGTTCTCCCGTTGGTATGACAAAGAGTACTATTCAAAATCCAAGTACTGGTTAGTACATTTGACATGGATTGTTTTAGTTTATTTAATGTCTCGTGGTTATAGGTATCTATCAAATTATTCTTAGTTGGATTCCTACAATTGATCAATATGGTCCACAGGGATTTTGTGCCGGAGCTGTTGATAGCACGAATGTTCAATCAGATCAATGGTGTATAACTTTTTTAGTTGGTTTTGACTCACCTGATATCATTCGACCAAGTGTTGTTCAAGGTTCAGCTTCACCAATTGGCACCATATTTCAAAATCACACCATTTTCTCAATTCAAAGTAATCCTAATGATATTAAAAAGAAAACATAGGATGAGGTTCAAATACTGCATAGATGAAATAAATAATAATCATATAGACATAGGAAAGGTTTCTGTAAAGTTTTTTTCTCTCGATATATTCCAACGTTTTTGAAAACAAGAGAATAAGTTAATATATGCATATTTAATACACGTTAAATATAGCGAATCTACGAAATATATTTGATCGATGATGGAATAACTGAAATAAATCAAGTAAAAATTCTATTAAATCAACTTCAGATCAATTTCTTCTAAAAATAGTATCTCTATTAGGTTTAAAATATTGTGTTTAATTGTGTTTATATTATTTTTAGCTACACGCTCAGTCAGTCGACCAAAACGTAATGGTACTTACATTCATTTTAAAGATGCTACTACAAATACAATTGTACAATCATATGATTGTGGTTGGGAACCAGAAGTAACATATACTGGATTTACAATTGTTATTCGTTTTCCAACTGCACCATGGATTATAGGACATTCATATTATGTCATGTTTGATAGTGGTATGAACTTTTGTCTATTGAATTTGATCTTTTCATGATCATATCCTTAGTTTTTTTTTAAATTTAAGGTGTAGCGAGTGGAACTGAATTTTGTGGTAAGTAGGATAGATAAACAATCTATTAAAAAGATAGCATGAAAAAAATACAATCTTTGAAGGTCCTGAATCTGCACCTATAACTAGTTCTTCATTTTGGGTTTTTAACATCTGGGATCCAGGACTTTCATCTACGACAACAACAACTACTACTCCACCGACAACTGGAACAGTTACAACAAGACCTGTATCAACTACAACTGTCAATACTCTAGTTAGTTCATTGATTCTCATTCACGTGATCATTATTAACTTTTCATAGTTGACAACAACGGGTATTGTCGTTACAAGTACATTTCCTCCTTCTACAACAACTAAAACCACTACAACTTCTGTTTCAACAAGTAAAGGAAACTTTTTTTTTTTTATATTGGAATAAAGAAAATTAATTAAAATAGAGATACAGTGAATATGTCACTATCTCTTTCGATATGCGAAAACAATTTTCTATAGATTTCATAAATGCATCACAGTAACAAGTCAGCAATATGAATACATTGCTGTATCCCGATAATCTATGTAGACGGTGGGCGTTTTTCTTCGAACAACTCTTTCACCGATATCCGTGAATATACAAATGTAATATTTGTTATTCTACAATTATATGAGCCTTGATTGCTTAGCGTGAAAATTTTTCAAGATGTAGTTATTGTTAATAGGAAATCAATATAAGTTCATGTAAATTGTTTTAGGTACAACAACAACGGATACAACTACAACAACTACGACAACAGGACCAGATGTTGATATCCTGTATCCTAAAGATATAGTAAGTCTCAAGCTACATCTGAATTATTTTTCAAGAATATAATATATGTCATAGGCCAAATTGAATTTTAGCTAAAAATGATCTTAGACAGATTTCGTTTTGAATTAAGCGCAAAATTAGGAAATCATTTTCATTGTTATTAAGTGAACGCAACACGTATTTAATATTTTAAATAGATAGAGTATTAATTTTCACTACTCATATTCTAATGCAAGCACGAATAACTTCTACGTCAACATCTTCGTCTCTTGCTTTTTTGTTTTTGAATATTTTGAAAACACTATTTACTTTTTGCCTAAATATCAACTTAAATATATATATATATATTGTAGGAAAAAGCATGTCAACAACCAGTGATAATTATGAATGCTGTTACCATGGTTGTAATGATTGTTGTACAAGGCGTAGGAGTGTTTGTTGTTTTCTCAAAATTTGCCACTATGTTTAATCCATCACAAATTGAAGCACAATTGAGACATACACAAAGAATAAAAACACCTAATCGACGTTGAAGAAATCTTCTTCTTTTTTGAACATTCTCCAAGTAACTACAAAGCTAAACGAGCAGTTTTATATTTGAACTATTTTTTTTCTTGTTTCACTCATTTGTTTTAGAATTTTAACATAGTGTACTCATATTTTCCCTGTAAATTCAACTGAAAGTTTGAATTTCATGTGATTCTTGTCTATGGAAATAAAATTTATCTTATATAGTTAATAATATGAATAAAAATCATGTCTTGAAATCGTAGAACTTAGATTTAATTACTGTTTCTAAAAAATTACATATTAATGTGTTCGAAAAAAAAAACGGAAAAAACAAGAATATCTTTAATGGAAACACTTCTATTATTCACTTAAGTAGTTTAATGTTTATTGTGTCAAATCTCTTTCTTGAAAAAAATTCTGTCTTTAGTCTTCATCATTTTCCTCACGTACTCGATTATGTATTTGAAAAATGCCAATATTACCAACATCAATTGTTCAACTATATCATTGTGCTGGGAGGGAAAAACTAATTAGTACAGTGGTCGTAGTGGCATATGCTAAAAACTTTTTAAGAAAAATCAGGAATAGTAAAATTTATGTTGATACTATTTTTCAGGAGCAAGTCTGCATAAGAGTGAATGAAGCAATGTCGTTAGTTAAAGTTGAAACTAGGGATACAATGATGACGGCGAATCATAGGTTCACCTGCACATACCGATAACCGGTACGAAACGGTTATCGTCGTTGTTGCGATAAGAGATTCGCACCGCCCGTGTCATGATGTTAAGTATAGTTCCTTTATTGGCGACCATACCTAAATCACCCCAACTGGTAAACTCTGTTACTATGATGTTTCTAAAAAAGAATGTATATCAAGCGTTGTCAAGATAAGAGAAGGGCTTTAATCGTTTGAAAACTGAATCTGTATGAGATACGATCAATTTATTACTTCATTTTAATTCTCATCAGTTAAAGTTGTCAATCAAATCCTCATGAATCTTCATTAAAAAATATTCTGACAACGAAAAGATTTAGCTACGTTGAAACTTGGTGAATTTAATTAGAATGAGCATTATATTAATATTTGCCAAAAGCTTTAATTTGCACAAATTTAAGTGCAATATAAGCTAAAGTGAAAATAAGCACCCTATAATTAAATTGAGCGCCTGGCATATAACGAATGAACCGGCTTTGTTCTAACTTTCTGAGAATTTCAGAAATTTGAGCAAAATCTTTTTTAAACAGAAAAAGAGAGAAAGAGTTTTCTATTCTAAATGAATATCGATTTTTTTCACCAGAAAAGATTGCCTTTTTATATGTAAAACAATAAAATAAAAAGTGGAATAAAAATCAGTACTGCAGCCTGTAATCTTTTTTCAAAGATTTCCCACTCGGTCGACTTTGTTGAATTAAAACCTTTTTTTGGTTGGATGCATCTGTGAACACAATTTCCATTCTATATTAGGAAAAAAAAATGAATTGGGAATTTTGTTTATTTCGAAGTTCATTAATATGAAAACGAATAAACAAGAAAATAAAATTCTCATTAGCATCGATTGTTTAACTTATTCTAGACTGATCTATAAAATCATTAACTTTTTATTTTTTGTTCAATGTAGACTTTGATACAGTTCTTCTGACAAATGTTTTATTTTCATCTAATATCATATTCAAAACACGATGCATATCTTCTTTCTTAATTAAAAATCGTTGTGTCAGTTGATGAATTGATTTGTTTTTTTCTTCCTTATTGAGGTTATTGTTTAACCATTTCAAAGAAACTTTTCCTACGAATTTCAACTTTTTCAATCTAGAAATTCACTTGGCATAACATAGCCTTGTACAATATTTTCATCGAAGAAGCAACATCATATCATTTTTCTCTATAGGACAAAAATTGTTTTATCTATTAGAAAAGTTTCTTTTCAATGTACTTATATGAACGAATGGAATAAACATAATTGAAAGAATCCATTTCAACTTCTAATACTCATCCAGATTGAAACATCTTTTGGAATGCGCAGGCAATACTTGAGCTTCTTGAGCAAGCATATCATGCGCTATAGACAATTTTCAATTTATGCGTATAAGACAACAAATTCTATGTAAAAAAAGGGTAGTTTCGAGTTCTAATCAATTTTCAGATCGAACATTTTTCACTTGTAAATAAGTTCGACTTGTGCAAATATATCTACTACTTTTAATCAGAATTTTAATGAAACTGTTTCTCCCATGCGAATGACTTTCTTAAGGTTCTTGAACAAGAAAATCATGAGCTGTGGACAAATCTTAAAGTCTGCACATGTCAAGAATGCGGAAAAAAAAGTTCAACTCGGGATTTTCGTTCATTCCAAAATAAGGAATTAAATTGATCAGGAGGTTCGAAATTAGTTAGATATACAGATTCGAGGTCGATTTGTTCCATTTCTGTGATGAATATTTCCAATTCATCCAATGTTATAGAACACATTTCTATTGAAAGATATGTCAAATTAGAAAAATTAACTAAGAATATAATTCCATTGTTTGAATGGCTTTCAGATAAATCCATCAAATTCAAATGACAAAGTTGAAGGGTATAACATATCATAGTACAAAGTGAAACAGATGTGGAGACTTCTTCTGTTAAACATTTAATATGCTTCAAGTTTGGTAAAGCAAAAATTAATCGATCAACTTCACTTAACGTCCACCGCATATCGATTGTTAATGAGAAAAGACAAGATAGAAAAACTAAATTAGTAAGCAGTAAAATAAGTATAGCTGATGAAATTTCAATAATAACAAGTGATTCAAGACGATTAAATGATGAATTAATTGAAAACGATGAGAAAAATTCACTATTTTTTGTAATCTTAACCATATATGAAATGAAAGTATTGAATGTTTGTTATTAAATATTCATATATAATTCATTAGATGTCGATATATTTCACAACTATCAAGATATTCTAATATTTCAAAGAAACATTCCTTAGAGAAATCTTCTATTGAAGTTATCGACATGTTAAAGATGAATGTAAACTAATAATATACAAGAAAGAATAAAATGTACAGTTTATATTGATTATGCTCTGTTTGAAATGACGATATTCTTTTCTTTTTCTTTCTCCATCATGGCTATCTTCAATGAATCATTGTGACTGTTCTTGTTTACTTTCACAATCATTTTGATCTACGATATTCCAGCAGTTATATTTAATATAATAAGATTTTCTACTATAGATATTTTCTTCATGAAACAATGAAACTTTTTATTAAATAATATTATACAAGAATAAATACAACAAACAATATAATTACTTATTTCCATTGTAAATAGATCTCATTCATTACACGTTTGACTGTAAAAATCAACAAGCAAATTCTCGATATTGATCATTTTTTCTAATTTGTGAACCATTTCATCATCGGCTGCTGCTACACAAAAACATAATAAACGAAGTGGATGATTAGATTTGATCTTAATTTGTATTAAAATAAGTCGTACAAATAATTCAACATCCATAGAATGAATAAAATTGACTTGAAGATGATTAATACGAGGAAAAATTTCAATCAGGAAATAAACTTCTTCTATCAGAATTATTATTTCGAGACAAAGTTTTGTAATTTGATTTTTAGTTGATAAAAATAAAAGATCTTCAATTTCTTCCCTCGACAAATATGTTGATTGTGAAAATGATAAAGAAAAAATTTGTAATGTATCAAGTTCAGATAATAAATCTAAAATTTCTCTTAATTTACCAATAGAAAAATGTTCCTGAGTTTCCATATGATGAATTTGTGTTACAGTTAAAACATGACTAATATATTTATTTATGGCTAATGAATTAGGCCATCCTTCAGAAGATTTATTGACTAAAATAAGTCGCATGAATTTAGACAATTGATCACAAGAATTAATCATCTTATGTTGTGTATTATATTCATACCATCTTTTTCTAAAGAGAAAAGATAAATTATTTAATGCAAAAATATTTCTTTTTTTATATACTTATATGGACGAATTGAATATATCAAATTATCAAGTTCGATTTCAGCTTGCAGTATCCATCGTCGTTCAATCCAAAATGGAGAAATGAATTGATCACGCTTTCCACTGTACATTGGAGTTTCATAATGATCTTCAAAATACGTACTATATTTAAAATAAAATTCTTCTAATTTTGGCAAATTTTGTAAAATAAATTCTTCCCATCGATTAGCGTCAAGATAAGCAATATCTTGAACTATAGTAGTAAATGATAAAACCTTTAATTTCGAAGAATATAACTTTTTAATAAATATTTCAAATTCATCAAATGTCATTCGATAATTATTTATAGAAAGATGTGTCAAATTCGATAATGCTATTGGCTTAATAACTTAAATGCTTATATTACTTTCACTTAGATTCAAAAACTTCAGACGACGTAGTTATGGTGTATAAGATATTATATTATAAAGTTCGTTGTAAGCACAAGGATGATCAATAATAAGGTATTCGATAGTACTGACTTGTTGTTCATTAGTAGCAATTGATAGTGAGACAGTTATGTCGAAATCATCGGATTCTGTTGCTTTATATTTGATATATTTCAATTTCCGAAGATTGAAAATTAATTGATAAATATTGCCGAGATCTTTTAGAGCAGACCATGTATCGATTGTTAATGAGAAAAGACGAGGTAGATAAATTAATTTTGGAAGAAGTGAAATAAGTAAATCTGGTTCAATGGGCCTAAAAACAAGAGATTCAAGACGAATAAATGATGAATCGATAGTAAACGATGAGATAAATTGATTATTATCTGGCAATATCCATAGATGAACTGAAAATATTTGATTTTTATTGTGAAGAAAAATTTGTTTATATTTGTTCATGATTATTTCTTTCGATTGTGAATAACAATGTCTTATTTTAAATAGAAGATATGAAGAATTGAGAAGCTGTTGAAATCGATTATTTAGATCGAAAAATGCTTGATATATTTCATAACTATCAAGATATTCGAATATTTCATAAAAAAATTCATTAGATAAATCTTCAATTAAAGTTCTTGACATTCTCTAGATGAAAATCTAATATTAGTAAAAAGTTTTTTTTTAACCTATATGACTTACGTTTCTTGATTGAATGTAACTAATAAAAAAATAAAATGTTATTGAATAAATCTATACAAAACAAATGATCTAGAAGAAAGAATGAAATGTGTAAATGTATGTTTGTGTTATTCTTTGTTATATAGAGAATGATAACATCTTATTCTTTTCTTTTTTATAAAGAATATACTTGATATGAACGTAGCTTCCAAATTGCGGACAAAGATCAAACCAATCGACAGTGTGGGTGAGGGCGCAAATAGGTGATTTTTGACCGCAATTTGGAAGTAGCCCTGGTGAATCATGCTTAGTTTTCTTGTTCATATTAAATAATAAATAGTATTACTTAATTCTTATCCTAATTGAGTCGTATTAAGCGCCCCCCCCCCGCCCCTCAAAAAAGTCACTTTTCGTCAGAATCATCGAAATTGAGATAAATCCATAGAAAAATAGCCCGTCATCTGCTCTTTCATAAACGACAAAAATTTTTATT